TATTTTTTCTATTGGAACTCCTCTTATGTTTAAACTGTGGAAATTGTCATAAATTTTGTTTTATTAGCATTAAGCGTTAGTCCGCCTTCCTCACTAGCATTTACTACATTATCTAAAAGTGTCTGTAGATCTTGTATATTCTCTGCAATTAGTATAGTATTATCGGCATATCTGATATTGTTGATGGGTCTGCCGTTGACTTTTATTTCAATTGTTACATTTTCGAGTGATTTTTTAATTATTTCTTCCGAATATAGATTGAACAAGAAGGGGGAGAGTATGCAACCTTGCCTTACGTCTCTTTTTATCTCTACTTCTTTCGAAAGTTCTCTATCGACTTTGACTTTTGCTGTTTAGCTAAAGTAGAGATGAGTTATTATTCTTAAGCCTTTTTTGTCAATGTGTTTCTCTTTAAGTAACTGTATAAGACGGTTGTGTCGGACCTTATCGAACGCCTTATTATAATCAATAAAATAAACATAGAGTGGTTGGTTTACATCCATACATCTTTGCATGACGACGTTAAATCCTAAAAATGCCTCTTGTGTACCCATGGCATTCTTAAATCCAAATTGGGTTTCAGTAATGTCTTGTTCCACTTTTCTGAAAATTCTTAAATGGATAATTTTTAAGAATATTTTTAGTGTGTGACTCATAAGACTAATTATACGGTGATCATTACATTCTCTTGCATTAAGGGTTTTTTTGGTAATGTAATAAATGTTGATTTGAGCCATTCTCTTGGAATAATACCCGAATTATCTATAGTATTATATAAGTCTACTAATACATTCATCTGATCTTCTGATATTAATTTAATTATTTCAGTTGGAATTGTGTCAGGTCCCGCAGTTTTATTAGATTTTGCCAGATTTATGCATGTATTATTTAATCCTTAGTTATATTTGGACCTATATCATGTTCCTCGCAATCCTTCATGCTATCTTGTTGTGTCCTGTCATCCTCAAACAATTCTTGGACGTATTCTCTCCATCTTTTTAGTTTGCCTTTTACATCAGATATTATTTTACCATTCGTATCAACTAGGGTGTTACTATTGTTGGACCGTCTCATGCCTGCTAATTCTTTAATTTTTTTGTGCACTTCAAAACTATCATGATTTCTCTGGAGTTCTTCTATCTCTAAACATTTGTTGTTGTACCACTTTTCTTTAGCTGCCCGTATTTTTATCCTGATCTCCTTGTGTGTGGCTTTGTATTCGTTTACATTTTTGTTTTTGTATGATCTTCTTTTGTCCATTAGTTGCCGGATCTCATCTGTCATCCATGGAGTCTTAGCTTTATCGATTTTTTGACTACTCATCGTATTTTTGATTGGCATCATTAATGTGTTTTTAAATTTTTCCCATTTTTTGTTGGAATCTTCATTATCATTGATTATTGTTTTGCTTAACTCCTCGTTAATTTTCAACATTAGTTCTTTATTTGTATTCGGGTGTTTTAGCAGAGTGCTTATTTGTTGTGTCTTTTGTTGTTTTTTTTATTTTCTTTAAGTGGATTTCGAATTTTACGATTACTGGATTGTGGTCTGATGCTACATCTGTTCCTGGATATGTCTTTGCCGATTTGATGGAGTTACGGTATCTCTTATTGATAATATCTATCTGATTTCTGATAATTTTTTCTTTGCTGCCCTTAGGTGATTTCCATGTATATAATCTACGTGGTGGTAACTGAAAAAATGTACTTGTCGCTATCATTTCAAACTCCTGATAGAATTCCCCTCAGTCTTTCCCCTCTTTCGTTCCCGAAATTCCCGAAATTAGCCCGAATTCACCAATAATGTTTTGGAATTTACCTTTTCCTAATTTGGCAATAAAATCTCCCATTGTTATTATTATATCTTTATTATTGGTGCTTTCTAGTGTTTTTCTAATGTTATTGTAGAACTCTTCTATTTCATTTTCATCTTTATCTGCAGTGGGGTCGTACACCTGTATGATATTAAGAGTTCTATGCGTTGTTTGGGTTGTGATCATTAACACTCTATCCGATATAGGAACAAAACAAGTTACAGCTTGGCAGAAACTGCGATCAACCACTATAGCGACGCCATTATAGTTGTAAATATCTTTATTTCCTGAATAGTATATGTTGGCACCGCCGACTTCGATTTCGCCAGATCTAGGCCATCTGGTCTCGCTTAGTCCCATTATATTAACTTTAAGTCGCCTAATCTCATGTATTACATTGTGGATCTTCCCTGCTTTATATATAGACTTCATATTCCAGGTACCTATCTGCAGTTCATTTATATTTTTGTGCCTGACGCGGAGTTTTCGCATGTTGGCGACCTAACTGTGGCCCCGCGGTCTAACTGTGAATTGCCTTCCCTGCCGGATCTTGGTATCCGATGTCCATGATCAGTAGTTGTGAAATTGTCATTTATAGTACCCATGATAATTGATAAGAGATATATATTTACAGATATTTATTGTAGTGATTTCTCGTTGCCTTCTACATCCTTCTGCCGTTGACCATTTCTTTGGTTTATCCGCCTTTGGAGTCGATTTCTCAACTTCAGGTCAAAAGAGTGCCCTATCACTTACCAACTTATTCACCCGTAGCCGTTGGTCAGTAAGTGAGAGATTGCTTATACCGGCAAACACTCGGTCCCTATCTGAATTGTCTATGTATAGATAGATGTTGCCCATCTTCTTCCACGTGGAGGTTGCAAATTTGGATTTTTCTTTCATTGGGATTAAGACCTCTCGGCATTTCCTAATCGCTTCAGAGCTTTAGAAATCATTAAATCATCAGCTTTACTTCACATTTTGACAAATATTGGAAACTAATTGGTCTCAATATTCGCCAAAATGCAGTAAAGCCGATGATCACCAAACAGCAGTTAAACATAACGGAGCTTTATGTATGTTTTCACATAAATATACCAATATTCCTTGTATCGTTATGTACATAATTTATATATTATTAAGTGCCATGACGTACGCGGCGGTTTTGACCAAACCGTTTGCCGAAAGTAAAATCGAATCGGGAGGTTTTCTAAGTTGAGAAAATGGGTAGTGACCGACCAAACGGCGAGCTCTTCCTGGCAGTTTTGAAACCGAGTAGGTTGATGGTTGGCACGAATACCCGGCTCGTTTTCCAAAACTAGTAGTAGTTGCGTTTTATGACATTACCCGTGCCACACGTATCGGTTTTCTAAAAACGGTTTGCTAACAATTGTTGGATTTTGGTTTGTTTTTCTTCAATATTTTCGTCTGAAAATGCCAAAAATAGATGTTAATAAATTGATTGGGCAGGTACAAAAGCGTCCCACATATTTGCTTGAGAAGGGATGACGACAGCAGTAAACTTAAAAAACAGCTTCTCATGAGTGCTTAATTCAAAAAACAAATTATTGAAGTGCAATTTATCCTTTTTTCCTTGAATAATTGGGTGTATCGATATCCTCTGAGTTTTCCTACTGTTTTTCCACCGGTAGTACAGTAGAGTCATCATCAATAATGCTTCTTTTTTATCACTCATTTCAATAAATCACAATAATTTTGAAAGTGAAATCTTTCTGTTTGTTTCTGAAATAACTGAAAATTTCCGTCTTGCTTAAACTAAGTGGAAAACAGCTTAGGTTAAATCGTTACGCGTGTCACTGGTCTAGAAAACCGCCTCGATAAACGATTCGGTCAAACTACTGTGTTTATTATTGACCTACATTGTAGTATGCGAAACGGGTCCTCCATGGTAAAATAAATGGATTGTATGCAAAACCGGTCGTCCGTGGTAGAATAAATTAATTGTATGCAAAACCGGTCATCTTTGGTAGAATAAAATTAATTAGAAGTCTTTTATTTTACTTTTCTTTACATATAAAAGAATATATATTTAGATATCGTACATTCAACATTGGTTTATCGAGCTCCTATATGAACAGGAGTAATCAGGATGGAAAAATATAAAGAGAACTTGGAGCGTAAAGAAAACTACTCACTAAAGATCTAAATAATTTGCGCGTTGGACCAAAAGAATAATACCAGACAAAAAAAATATTGTATAATTTAAAAGTTAAGACAACTATCACTTTAGGCCGTTTCTAACAAAGCATGATTCTTTTAAAACTTAAACGTCCTGTATCTAAAAACAAAAGTGGTCACCTATGCAGAAGATGCAGTAGTATTGGTAATGTTGAAGACGAAAGAGTCGATATTTAGATGCAACAATATTTACGAGGAGAAGTGAAACCACACAGTATTGTAAGATCCTCCGTAGTTGATGTATTTTAGAAGTGCAAACACTCCTGACCACGGCGCACTAGACGAAATTTGGTTTAGTCCCCACTTCCATGCGAAACGCACTGTACTATGCAACGTGAAAGGCAGAACGTTTCAGTTTGGTTAGTATAATTTCACTTACCTTTCACGAACCTTTCTGCCTTTACGTGAATTTTGACTCCGCCTTCGCGCAGCTCCATGGTCAAAAGTGTTTGCACTATCTTCTAATGATACGGTTAGGATCATCACTAAAATGATCATGAGAAAAGATAAGTATATTAGAATGAACACTAGAAGAAAATAAGAGCCTGACGGAGGTTAAACACAAATCTCCAGATGAAGATAAGATAATATTTCCAGGATGACGTATACTTAAACTGCTTTGAACCATTAAAAACACGCCGAGTCATTTTTTAAAATTATCCGAGGGTAAGGCTGTGTATGGTCTAGTAAAACTTTTTTTCAGCTATAAAAAAATATGCACATTCTAAAAAATGCAGAAGAAACTGCCAAATATATTGTCTACACTACAAAAAATTGGCAGTTAACCCCATAAATACTTGAAACAGGTATTTTTCAAACCTAATGAGTTATTAAAACTATCCTTGAAATGGATAATAGGCTCTTAAAAGTCTATATCTTTGAAGGTGAAACCTTTATATTTTGAGAATTAAATTTAAATTATAATTATAAATATGGTAATGAAATCTTATATCAAGTTTTCTGTAATATATTAGATTATAAATATTACCTTTGAAGCGTATTAATTGTAGCCTCACATTTATCTGAGTTAAGCGTGTTGTAGATATCCGACGGTTGTAATTTTTTCTTAGAACCAGTTTTAAAAATTGGTAATATCCAGCTAAAAAGAAACATATTCATTAGAAAAAAAAGCCAGTACAGCCAGTCAAACGGGCCATAGGAAATATTCTAAATTGTTAAATTTCTGCTTCCCTAATTATTTTACATCAAAATTCATAAGAAACTATTTGTAAAGAACTGAAATATGTATTAAAAACAAATGTTAAAATTGTTCTACAAATTAAATGTATTCCAAAATTTTGTAAAAATATAATACATTTTTCAGGCCACCCCTTAAAGTCAGGCCACACGAGATACAAGAATGTGTATGACATGTTGCGTTTGATCATATGTATGTTTCCGATATTTGACAATATTTGAATCGCCAAAATTTTAATTTAGTGATTTATTGTATAAAAAACAACAGATGATTGAGAAATGTATTCAATTGAGGAGAAAGTAGCAATAATAAAAATGTTTTCTTCGGGCAATAGTGCGCGAATTGTCAATCCCTTATTTAGCGTAAGATATCCCAATAGACCAATTCCAAGTCACTCAATAATTCAGGATTTTACAACATTTTGAAAATACTGGGAACGTGATTTCTAATTGTACCTGTACAAACAATATTGCTGAGGTTCCAAAAAATTTTGAAAATCTAAATGAAATAAGATAGAGTAGAGAAACTCATGTATCTCGGCAGTAAGATCAATGAGAGCTGGGATCCAACCGCAGAAATTAAAAGCCGAATAGAACAAGCTCGAGCTGCCTTTGTAAAAATGAGAAACGTACTTTGCAGTCACGATCTTAGCATTGACCTTAGAGTTCGTATGGCATCTTGCTACATATTTCCTGTCCTGCTATATGGAGTGGAAGCGTGGACTCTAACTGAGGCTATGCTTAAACGCTTGATAGCCTTTGAGATGTGGGTATACAGACGACTACTGAAAATAAGCTGGGTCGACAGAATTAGAAATGAGGAGGTCCTTAGACGGCTGAGCCAAACAACACAACTGGTCAATATAATGAAGAAACGCAAGCTGGAATACTTTGGTCACATTATGAGACACCCTGAAAAATATGATCTTTTACATCTGATCATTCAGGAAAAGATCCAAGGTAATCGTGCTCCTGGTAGACGAAGAACATCATGGCTGAAAAATCTAAGGCAATGGTATGGAAAATCAACTATATCGTTATTTAGAGCTGCTGTCAATAAAGTCATGATAGCGAATATGGTAGCCAACATGATATCCAACGATCGATAACGGTCATGGAACTAGAAGAAGAAGAAGAAATGAAATAAATGTATTAACAGCAGTTGTAGAAAATCCTAGAATAAGTTCTCGGACCATTGCAGACCAGTTTAATATTCATGACTCTACGGCCTTAAAAATTTTGAAAAGGAATAAAATCCGTTCATATAAATTTCAATGTCATCAAGAACTAAGAGAAGAACCTGCTGAACGACGAGCGGAATTTTATTATAAAATGTTTAAGAGGGATATGCAGACAGACAATTTTTAAAAAACGTTTTGTTTTGTGATAAGTGTACCTTTGCATTAAATAATGAACCAAATGTTCAAAATTATACGATTTGGTCGGCAAAAAAAAACAGAGAATATTATTGCCAGCCATACCCAATATCGTTGAAAAATAAATGTCTGGTTAATAATATTTAGACACAATATTATTGAACCATATTCCTATTAGAAAAATTTAAATTCAAAAAAGTTTTTAGACTTCCTACAAGAAGAAATTTTACTCAGACTTGCAGAAATAGCTCCAGATGAAGAAGAAATTTGGTTTCAAATGGATGGCTGCCCTATGCATAATAACCGGTAGGTTAAAGAATTCCTTAAAAACAGCTTTAATAATTGTTTGATTGGACCTGACTGTAATATTAAGTGGCCTCCGAGATCGGGAGATCTAGATCCAAACGATTATTTTATCTGGGGGCATTTAAAATCAAAAATCTATTCTGACCAAAAATTTACAGATATTGAATCATTAAAAATGTGAATTATTGAAGAGTGTGCAAAAATAACGCCACGCATTCTGGCTAATATTAGACGAGAATTTTACAATCGAATGGGATACTGCTTAGTACAAAATGGCTTATTGTTTGAACATTTGTTATAGTTTTATGTTTAGAAATTATCATAAATTAATATTAGGAAGGATCACAGTAAAACTATATTGAAATTCTTTGATTGTTGTATAACCTGGAATTGAATTTGAGTGTATTATGATAATCTTGTGTTCAATAAAGAGCTGGCAGTGCTCACACTATTGGCTGAATACAACATTTTTGCGATTTTTTGTAAACTGAATACATTTTCTCAATGTTATTGCTTTGTAAACAATATAATTTATTGTTTACAAAGTACTATTTACTGCTCACTAGTAGTAGTATTTGTGGAAACTTGCGTATTTTAGTATTTGTGTATAATTTAATCACAAAAAAAATATTGACAATTCAAATATTGTCAAATATCAGAATCATCAATATGAACAAACGCAACATGTCATACACATTCTTGTACCTCGTGTGGTCCGACTTTAAGGGGTGACCCGAAAAATGTATTATATTTTTACAAAATTTTGGAATACATTTAATTCTTAGAACAATTTTAACATTTGCTTTTAATACATATTCCATTCCTATACAAATAGTTTCTTATGATTATAATTAGGGAAGCAGGAATTCAACAATTTAGAATTTCCCATTGAATTTCCTATGGCCCATTTGGCGATTCACCACCCGGTATATATATATATATTATATATATATATATATATATATATATATTATATATATATATATATATATATATATATATGAAAAATCCCGTTAAGAGTTTAAAGCTCGACGTTTTGGCCTCCATTTTGGAGCCGTTTTCAAGAGTGATGATACGATTCCGTTCGAGTTTGGGGTCTCAGGTTGCCTGCTCCCCTCATTCGAGACGTACTAGTATCTTGTTCTGTATAAATATAAGATAAATATAAGGTCTCAATCTGCCTACTCCTCAGTGTCGAGTGACAACCGGTCTTATCCTGTGTGGCTGCTTTTATATTATCAGTGTGCCGGTAGACATTTAGCGTCATTAAGCTGTTGGGCCGTTTTTCAATTTCGATGGCTTCACGAATGATTCTCAATTTTAAGGAGCGGATGGAAGCGATGGCTTTTGCTTTTCTATGGATGGATCTATTTTGTGACCTGTCTGAATATGATGTTCTGTTAGGGCTGAAGTAGTATCGGAATGTTTGACTGATAGAGAATGTTTGTAAATGCGGTTATGGATTCGTCGTTTTGTCTGTCCTATATATGAACGTGGGCAACCGAAATAAGGTATTTCGTAGACATCATGGTCTTCATTGCGGAGTTGGTCTTTTACGGATCTGACGAGATTGGACAACTTGGAGTGAGTAGTGAAGATGGTTTTGATGTTTAGAGGGATAAGAGTTCTACTGATCGGTTTAGTGACACCGTTAATAAAAGGTAGAAAGATTTTGGAATAAAGATGGAATGGAGTTTAGATGATTTTGGATTTAGATTGATTTGGGTTTTGTGGTAGCCGTTTTGTAAGAGGGTTTGTCTTATTGAATTGATTTCGGATGACCTGTGGTTGTATTCGCTAAGTCTTATGAAACGGGAAATAAGAGTGTTGATAACTGAATTGAGTTGGGCGGATAATAATGTGACTGGGTATTAAGATAACGATTTATATGAGTGGGTTTTCGGAACACGGAATAGGAAAAACTGTAGGGTGGGTTTTAGTGAATAAGAACATTGAGGAATGGCAAAAACGCTTTAAACTCAACTTCCATCGTGAATTGAATGCTGGGATGTATTTCATTCAGATGGGAGAGAAAGAGATCTAATGTGTTATTACCATGAGGCCAAATGAAAAAGGTGTCATCAATGTACCGCCGCCAGCAGATGGATTTGAGATTTGATGAGGACAAGGCATAGTTTTAGCTAAATGACCCACTCAGTCTTAGACCCACTGTTAACTTTAAAAGTTAGCTGTAAATGCATATGTTGCCTCCACATTTTTTGTGAAAAAGTGGCAGAGGTGACACTTGTTGGAAAAGTTTCAGGGACTCTCGAAGGCAAAACTAAAGAAAAGTGTATTATTAAGGCTACATATTAGAAGATTTCTAGCATATCAAAAGTTGGTCAATAGATCTCTAGAAGAAAATAATAAATATGCCTTCCATACCGTTCCGAAAGTTCCGTAAGATTTATCTCACATAGAAGAAGTCCCTTGACGAAAAAGAAGAAGTATTCTTAGTCTTCTAGTACCGTCTCCAGTAATTGGCTATAACCAAGATTGGCTATAATATAAGATATAATATAAGCTATAATATAAGATATAACCAAGATTGGCTATAACCATTGCAAATTCGTCTCTATCATCTGCTTTTCTGAAAAGCGTATGTGTATATAACCCGGTCTTATCGCGAATGTTTTTCAGCCAGGATATTTGTCGTCTACCAGGACCTCTTTTTTCTTCTATTTTACTCTACATAATCAGCTGCAACAACTCGTAGTTGTTATTTCTTAGTATGTGCCCAAATATGATGTTTTTCGCCTTTTAATGGTGCTCAAAAGTTCTCTGACTCTTCCCATTCGATACAACACCAATTCGTGTGTAATATGATCGGTCCATGGTATCTTCAAAATTCTCCTAAAAAGCCACATCTCAAAATCTTCCAGTTTTCTCATTAAGTCTACATTAACTTTCCAGGCTTCGACACCTTCTTCTTTATGTGCCGTCTTCTACCGAAAGTTGGCGACCATCAAACGATAGGTTTCTCTGTTTTGTGCCGCATGTATTATGTTCGCAGCTTCTGGTCTTTAAAATCATTCTCTCAAGTTTCTCAGCCAGGATTTTTTCTTTCTGCCCATACCTCTTCTATCTTTAATCATGCCTTCCACGATAAGCTGTAGTAGACTATACTTATCATTACGAAAGACATGGCCCAGGTATGACGCTTTCCTCCTTTTAACAGTTGTTAACAATTTCACCTCTTTACCCATTCGTCTTAATACTT